TGTGAGATGACGATCTTGACTCAGCCATAAGCAGGCGGAGTTGGATTATCTTCACAGCACTTCGGACACACCCATAGATACTCAGATCCCCCTTCAACATATTCATCAGCGTCGCGCGGTAAATAGTATCAGTCCTATGTCGGTGTGCTTCTTATGCTTGGCTGTGCTGATTTTTACTCCCAGTTCTCGTGTTCTTAGCAGTGATGTGAACACATTGCTTCCAGAGTCTTCGGAGCGTCCTATCTCTTAAAGGGCATTGACAATGACTGCGTGATCCAGCCAGCGCAGTCACACGTCACTCGCTGTGGAGTGATGCTGAAAAAAAAAAAGGGGGGGGGGGGACAGCTGCAGGTTAAAAGAGGAACATCGTGAATGGCTCAGGCCGAGGACATTATTCAGCATGTGTGTTAACTTGAGGACATAGATATAGAACCTGATGGGGAACGGCTATAGATACAGAGTGCTGTACGAATTTGTTTTTATTTGCATGCGTCTAGACAGAAAATGCAGACAAGAAAGTTGAGCAGCTGTGGAGGCAGAAGTGCAGGCTTTGATTTTCAACAGGAAGATGCTGTCGCATATACAGATGGGCCTGAGGCTTGCTATGTGAGTAGTTCGTGGTGTTTTTAGAAAGATTCTGGGGGGTGTTGCCTCGACTACAAGTAGTCTGACTATGTACGTCATGGGAGTGACCAAGGCAATAACATAGCTGGAGATACAGACCTTTAGCCTCGTATGCTGTCTTTGTAACTTGACAAGAATGCCCAGGAAGATAGAGACGGGCTGAATCCCAAGACAATGGTTGGAATCTTCGAGGCGGTCGGACCTGACAAATATCAGTTTCATACTATAAAGCGTGTATGCTTTGTATTTTTTTATATATAGAATGTCTGTTTTTCAAAATATTTCCCCTGTGGGCTCCGGGGTCCCATTGTGGAGAAAACAAGGATAGACCCACTGCCCACCCAAAAGCATGTCGTAAGAGTCTAACTGGGAGACTCATTCGTCGTCGGTGTGCATCTGACTGAGGGGCAAGGAACCAACATTCTACATATAAATGAGCACTTAGATTCTACATTCCAGAAGTGGACAAACAACAAGAAATTTCCGCCAGAGTTCACAGCCAGTGAACCAGAAGAAGATATGAATTATTTCGTGTGCATTCCGTTGCTTTATTTTGACGTATCTAGGCAGGAACTGTACTCGATAATTCGTAAACAAATTCGTGACTGGGGAAGTGGTTAGAAACGGACAGGTATATTATCACACTTAATTTAATAAAACAGGCTATAAACGAGCTTACTGAGTAGTTTGTTCTAGTAATTGACGAATGTTACTAATAACATAGCGAAGGAAGGATAACAATTCATTGTAATTCAAAAATGTTCTTCTTTCGTTCGCTGGAAATAGATTATTAAGGCTCTCCTGTCAAATCCGGACGAAGAATAAACAGCCGTGGACGAGTTAGTCAGAGTTATCTCCCTTGGCCGCACTCCGAACAGTAATCGGAAAACAAACGAAATAAACGACAAACTTACCTATCATCCTGCGCTTGCGTGTAGGGCTGCGTACGGTTTCGTGAGGCATTGTGAATGGTTGTGTAGTCATCATCATGCGGTTGTTGGGTTAGAGTTAGGGGTAGGGTTAGGGGTAGGGTTAGTGGTAGGGTTAGGGTTAGGGGTAGGGTTAGGGTTAGATGTGAAAATTTTGACGTAGGATTTCGAAATACTGGCCGACAATCAGATGTTTGTGGGAGTGGCGCCACTGAAACTCTGCCAAATATGACGCCAATAGCGTGCGGCTGGTGCCCCCAATCGTTGGCGAATTGTGCATTTGATTAGCATCCAGAGGCCCTCGATTGTTTGTGTGTGTATGGGACTGTGCGCGATTATAGGGAACTCCAGCGTCAAAATTGTCAAATATAACGCTAAACTTTACCCTACCGCTAACCCTAATCCTAATTCTACTCCCTAGCCCTAACCCCTACCCCTAACCACGCAAATTTATCGATCATTAAAGCATACAAATCGGCAAAAACCAACAAACAAAACACACCCAAAAAAAACCCAGATTTGTCCTGCAGCGTTCGAAAAAAAACCCAGATCTGGGGGAAACAACCAAGCATTGGCAGCCCTGATGTCGACGTCACTGTCTTCTTTGTTTCGTTGTGGCTTTTCCGATCACTGTTTGGAGTGCGGCCACGGGAGAGAACTCTGACTAAGTCGTCCAAGGCTTTTTAGTCTTCGTCCGGATTTGACAGGAGTACCGATTATTAATATTATTATTAATATTATCTATATCTGCAGTGTTGTCTCTAGTATAAACTTCACTGTCTTTGGTAATTCACTCAGCGACCCGTAAAGTTTAACCTGCGCCTATGTTTCTCTTTGCTAAAAGTTGGCTCTCCTCCGAACTTCTACCCCAATATTATGGCGGCCAAACATATACCCTAACAGGGCCTCAGACCTATTAAAAATGCGGAGTTTTCGGACTTCCTGCCAAGAAAAAAATCGCGGCAAAACTTGGATCGGCTCCGATTAACGAATCAAATGCTCTGCTATCCTCCGAATAACGGTCCCTAATTATTGAGGTCGAAAATATACCCTAACAGGGCCTCAGTCACATGTCAGTAGCGGACTTCCGGCGACTTAAATTGCGTACTTCCGGCGACTTCCGCCATCGCCAAGAGTATCTCCCACACCGCTACGTGCGGCATGGATTGGGACTAAACTAGATGGTTGGGACTCACAAGCAGCAGCTACCGCTTCTCCTGCAGCTTCCTTTATTTTATTTGCTCGTGAGTCCCAGCCATCTAGTTTAGCCCCAATCCACGTGGGAGATACTCTCGGCGATGGCGGTATAGTCCCCGGAAGTCCGCAATTGACTGAGGCCCTGTTAGGGTATATTCTTAATAATTTGGGACCATTATTCAGAGGATAGCCAAATGCTCTAACAGGGTCTCAGCAATATGTTAATTGCGGACCTGTTTCTGCGACTATGCCACACCGCCTACAGTATTCCCTGCACTGCTATGTGCCGCGCAAATTGGGGGCTAAACTAGATGGCTGGGACTCACGAGCAGCAGCTACCACATCTCCTGCAACTTCCTCCAGTTTATTTGCTCGTGAGTCCCAGGCATCTAGTTTAGATCCCCATCTGTGCTCCGTTTAGCGGCGCGGGGGGATACGCTAGGTGGTGAGTTTAATCTGAAGAACACTATCACTAATGTGCGTCGGAGCTCATGGTCTCCACGCCATCTCCATATTATCGTCTGTAATGTTGCGTGTCTCGAAATTGTCAATGGTCGCTAGTATCATCCTGCTAGTATCGTCTGTAGAAACGCTTAAAATTGTCAACGGTCGTTATTATCATCTGCTACTATTGTCTGCAGTATTGCATCTCTTGAAATTATCAAGTAATCCTAGTTTTGCCGCGATGTGTTTGTTGCAGAAAGTCTGCATTTTACACGCGACTGAGGCCCTGTTAGGGTATTTGTTTGGCTGGGGTAGAAGTTCAGAGGAGAGCCAAAAGTTTTGCCTTGATATGTTATATTTGGGACAGTCTTGGAGGACACGATCTGTTGTCTCAGGTGCCAATCCACATGTGCATATAAATATGTGAAATAAGTGAAAATGTCCTGTAGAAAGATGGGAATGTAAATTGCTATACAAAATATTATTATTAATTAAAATATCAAAGTTAAAAAGTAAAGGACCCTTTTCTATGACTTTCAGGCATATTGGGTATATAGGGCTAGACCTATATTTTATAGACTTGGTGGGTGATGTGGTCAGCACCATGCTGGCCAACTTTACTTCCCAGGACTGAACCTAGTACCCATTCAAGGCTGGGTCGACCTGGGAGCCAAAGTCATTAAAAAATTTTTTTTTAAAGTCTGGCTTACGTCTGGAACCGAACCCACAACCTTCTGATCTGCAGGCAAGCGTCTAGCTGCTAACCACGGCGGCTTCATTAATAATAATATATTAATTTTAAAAATATATATATTTGAAGGTGAGCTGTTGCAGTATTGTAATGTGTAAAGGCAAAGAGCTTTCATCTTCTGTTAGTACTATTACTAAAAAAATGTACTATTAGTGAAGAAATATACTATTACTGAAGAAGTTTACTATTACTGAAGACATATACTATTACTGAAGAAGTTTACTATTAATGAAGAAATATACTATTACTGAAGAAATATACTATTACTGAAGAAATGTACTATTACTGAAGAAATGTACTATTACTGAAGAAATGTACTATTACTGAAGAAATGTACTATTACTGAAGAAATGTACTATTACTGAAGATATGTACTATTACTGAAGAAATGTACTATTACTGAAGAAATGTACTATTACTGAAGAAATGTACTATTAATGAAGAAATATACTATTACTGAAGAAATATACTATTACTGAAGAAATATACTATTACTAAAGAAATATACTATTACTGAAGAAATATACTATTACTGAAGAAATGTACTATTACTGAAGAAATGTACTATTACTGAAGAAATGTACTATTACTGAAGAAATGTACTATTACTGAAGAAATGTACTATTACTGAAGAAATGTACTATTACTGAAGAAATATACTATTACTGAAGAAATGTACTATTACTGAAGAAATGTACTATTACTGAAGAAATATACTATTACTGAAGAAAAAAAATCTAGCATCGATTTTCAATGGTGAAAAAAACTAATATTAAGTAAATAAAAAAAAATTTAAACATTTTTCAGTTTAAAATGATTTAAAAAACAGTTTAAGGAATTTGGTGATTCAGCAGTTGAGTATTTACTCATCACAGATAACCCATCTTTAAGAATTGTTTGAAACTTGTGTAAAGTAGGGTTAGAAAACACAAATGTTATTCAGACATTTGTGAGATAAGCTGCTCACTTATTTACGCACAGAACATGAATTAACTGTATTGTTGAGAATAACTGCATTTATGTTACCTATTGATGTCTGTTTTCACAAAGATGTCATGGCTATGAAGGAAGTGCTAAAGGAACGACTTGACAGCAGTTTAGATGGTGAAGAGTTAACAGAGGCCCTGGTGTTAATACGCACTAGAGCCGCAGACTTGGAGAGTGTCCGGAAGTTGAACTGTTGGTAAGATTTAACTATTTTACACAGAAAAATGTTTTTTACAACACTGTATTTACTGTCAGCGTATGTGGCTTAGTTGTTGTGAACGTGTTTTGTAATGCCGGTGTGCCGGATTTGATCCCAACTGCGGACGATTTGTCTTGCATTGGTTTTGACAGTGGTACTGAAAGTTAACTGCTCAGAAAGCAATGGCAAACTAAGGAACGTAAATTTCCCCTAGAAAAACCACAGGTAAACCTCAGATAGACCACTGCCTACCCTAAAAGCATGTCGGAAGAGTCAACTGACTGGGAGCTTCCTTCAAAATCGGTGTATGTCTGCCTGAGAGGCAAGGAACCAACAGACTTTACACAAATGAGTCAGATCTGTAAAATGAATGTGCACGCAAAGGGGACACTCAGGTTTTACAGCGGTGATCGGGAAGCAGAAGAAGAATAACAATGAAACTGAATACTGCAGTCACAGAAGGGGACGAACAACCCAGAATTTTCTGCTAGATGATTTCAGTTGAACCAGCACGTGTTTAACCAAAGACATGGAGAATGGTCAGAAATAGTTTTAACCTACTCATCGCTCAACTATTCGTCGAATGAACTTGATTTTCAGCGATGACGCCTGGTCTCGCAGTGTGTTTAAGGAGGCATGCACCTTATGGTTTGCCAGATCAAATAATGTGTGTTTTGCTGACTGAGGACACTTTGTATGGCTACGGCATTCACTTGAAGTATCCAGCGTATCTGACTCAGTTTGTGACTAGAATCACTGGCATAAGCGGTTGAGCAATTATAGGCCAAACTCGTTTGCTGTGATGCCGGAACTGTCACGACTAACTAACTAACTAACTAACTAACTAACTAACTAACTAACTAACTAACTAACTAACTAACTAACTAACTAACTAACTAACCAACCAACCAACCAACCAACTAACTAAGCTAACTGGCTGACCGACTGACCGACCGACCGACCGACCAACTAACTAACTAACTAACAAACTAACTAATTGACTAAAGATAGAAACAGAAGAAGATGCATCCCCTTATTTGAATCCATTTGATGAAGATGATTCTCTAGTACCCACTTATCTGACTCCATTGTTTGAATGTACACCAGGGCTTGCAACATTGGAGATGTGAATATTGTCAGACGTATGCCAAATTTGGAAGTTTGCAGTTTGACAATCAACAAGCTGACAAGTTTGCGAGACTTTTCTCACTGTCATAACTTACAGGTAATTATCCTAAATTGCATTTGAGAACTACCTGTGCTTGTCATTAGATAATGTTTTTTTTAAAAACTACAGCAAGTTTTTAACTCCATCTATCCATGTTCTTCTTGGTCTTCCTCTGCCTGTTGATATTTCAATTTTCATGTTGTATGCTCTTGCAAGTCGTGATGCTGGGTTCATTCTAACCAGGTGGCCAAATCATTTCAGTTTTTTTTTTTCTTCTAATTACAGGTGTTGTTGCCACCATTCTAATGATATCTTTGTGTCTTTTATGGTCTCTTCTTGTTATGTTGACTGCTTTTCTCAAACATCTCATTTCAGACATAGTTAGTTTCTGCTCTTGTAATTTTGTTAATGCCCTTGTTTGGTTTAATATGGCTGAAGTGTTTCAGTTTCCTTCCCATGATACTGTCTGTGGGACAAAGACCCTAACTCCCTTGTTCAGATCATAAAGAATATATTTTTCCTTTTATTGTTTCATCCTTCTGTAAGAATCTTCCGGTAACAATCTTTTATTCTCTGTCTTTTTTCATTTTGTTTATTTAGTGCTTGTGAAATAATTTATTGCTCACAGGAAGGGGCCACAGGAAGGATGCATGTTCCAAAGATTTCATCTTTAATTGTTTTGCTGGTGTTGCGATTATGCTTTTCATATTATTTAATCTCTGCATTGCAAAGATAAGTCTCCTTCTCATTTCTGGTGAACAGTCCCAATTGTTGTATATACATACATTTTATGTTTTGAAAATCTCCCAGGAACTCTACGTACGAACAAACAACATCCAACATCTCAGTGACATTTACTACCTCAAACATTTAAAGAAGTTGCGCTCTCTGTGGTTGTCAGAGAATCCGTGTGCCAGTAGGGATAATTACAGGCCAACAGTTTTGAAAGTCTTACCAAATCTGCACAAGTTGGATAATATTGGTAAATAACAGTTTTTATTTATTTTTTTAATTAATGTTTTTTAAATTTTTTTTAAAAACTGTTTTCTATCATCAAGGTTTACTTTTTTATTTGTTGAATTAACTATTGACTGTATGGTTTGTTTCTAATTTTTCTTGTTACCTGATAATTATCATTAGTTTCTGTGGGAAAGGGTGCTAGCCACATTATATTTCTTTTCTTTCACACACACATACACACACACACACATATATATATATTTCTTTTTCTTTAAAAATGTGATTGATCCACTGTATTGTGGTTTAAAGCTACGTGTCTATTCCGACGCTCGCCAGCTGACTTGAAAGACATGTGTATGAATCCATACCATGCAGGTGTTTGAAAAAAACATTAAAGACCAATATTTTACCAAACAAACAAACAAAAGCAAACTTAATAAAAGCTTATAAAAATAGCCTGTTGCCTTCCAGGTGCCAGGTAATGTCCTGGGAAGTAAAGATGGCAGACGTGGTGTTGACCACACAACCCTTTACATGTTGATAGGTCTGTAAGTCAAGCCTCATATGCCAGCTGTGTCACTGGTTTGGTTAGAGTCCTTTATTTTATGTACGCTGATATCTGTACCTTTCAGCCCAGCACATCTGGTTTCATAATCCTTAACAACCAGACAACCATGGTATGTGAATCATCCCAACTGCCGAATCTCATCCTTAGCATAATATGCCCTCTTACTTTTGTATTTTCGTTCAGAACTGTGGCTTGTCCAATCATCACGAGTACTGTTGTATGACCACTTTGAAAGTAATTCACTCATGAATTGTATTTGTTACAACTTCACTAGCATCTCTGAAAAAACATTTCCTGGTACTCAAAGAGTTCGTTAGTGACTTTTTACAATATGCTTGTTAAAGAGCAGTGACTCTTTTCTCCCCCCACCTTTTTCCTCCTCCCTCCGCCCCCCTCCCCCAAATTGGACCCTGAAACCCACATGGGGAACGTCGTATTATCTGTGGGATTTGGGGAATTAGGTTTCCTTTTGAGTAAGAAGGGCTGCATGGTCTAGAGGCATAATGTGTGCCTCGAGTGCTAGAGGTTCCGGGTTCAATCTCCGGTAAGAGCTGGGATTTTTTCCTGTGGACTTGGACTTCTAGTAATTCCCCCTTGGTCTCTGGGTAGTGAGATCGGACACCTGTGTGCATTGTTGCGCGTGTAAAAAAACCCTTGGCAGTTGGAAATTGAAAAGAGTAGCTTAATGGCGCTGCCCGGGCAAAATTTAGAGTTAAAAATCTACCCAAAGTATTTTAGGATCCTTGCCGGTGCTACGGAGTCTGTGCAGTGTGCTGAGCTTCTTCAGACTCAGACTTGAGTTAGAAAAAGAACGGAGCACTTATGGGTTACTACCCATGTGCCATGATGTTGATCCGTTGTTAAAAAACCTCAAAATAACTTTTGAGCAACAAGGCAGGTTGGAGAGGGATCCAGCTGCACATAGTCTCTACAGTACTGTCCAAGAAACAAAAACCCAACAATGTGCATATAAATATTTGAAATCTGTAAAACAGATGTGTGCACAACACTCAGGTTCTGGCTGGAACAAGACTTAAGTCAAGAGGTGGATGAACATCCAGAACTTCCCACTGGAGTTTATAGCTGGTGAAAACAAAGAAGAAGATAAAGAAGTAAATCTTGCCACCTTTTGACACCTACCCCCCTATTTGTTAATTTAAAAAAAAAATGTTTTTGTAAATTTGAAATGAAGCTGAAACTGTTTATTTCGGATACAGTAAAAGTTTCTTGGTTTATTTTGACAATAATTGTCATCATCATTTCAGCTGTCACAGGAGAAGAAGTTGCAAGAGCTCAGACAGAAGGGGATGATCTTCCCATCCCTGTGGATTTCACATTTTCTGGTGTTTTCAGTGAAACTGCTTTCAGCTCCGAGGACAGTACAGACGACAAAAGGGAGAAATCTGCCTCAGTGTCGTCTGAGAAATCTGCCTCAGTGTCCTCGGAGAAATGGGCTCGGTCTCGACAAAAACGGCAGCAGAAGAAAAGAGAAGAGTACTTGAGGGAAAAGAGAGGAGCTGGAAATGATGGTGATGGTGTTAAAAGTGGTGGTGACGGTAGCGCACAAAGTGGTGAGGATGGAGGAGGATACGGTATGAGGAGTAGCAGCGACAGCGCGGATAGTGATGACTTATTCTGCTCAAAGGGCAGTTCTAAACATGAGGTGGTAGAACAAGAATATGAAAAAGAAGGAGTTGGTAATATTAAAAAGATTGATGATGATAATGTTGACATCAGCGAGGCCAAGAAAGATAGTCCCAGCACAATAGCTAAATGGGCATTAAACATAGAAGTTCTCGAAAGCAAAATCTTAGGTACCCAAGATAACTTGGAATTAGAAGTTGAAATTCTAGACACCGTTAAGGATTCTGATATCGATGTTGATAAAAGTGATACAGGCAGGAAAGTAGTAGAAACAAATGAAGAAGAACAGAATACTTGCAGCAGTTCTGAAGAGGACAAGATTTGTCAAAATGACAGTGAAGTTCAGGATATATCTGTAGAAAAGAGCAGTGTGGAAACTGGATCTTCTAAAGTAAGCAAATTGTTGAATTCATCTGTCTTCCTTGAGGCTAACCCTGAAGTGAGTAATTCTACAGAGAGCAGCAAATCTTTGAATTTGAGTGATAAGGACCTAACCTTGAAACTAACATCAGAGAGCAGCAAATCTTTATTGGTGAGTGACAAGAACCCAGCCGTAAAACTGACATCGATTTTCAGCATTGATGTAGCCAAAATGATTCCTGTAGATTCCAACACCAACGCACATATTGATATCGATGCACAGACTGATGAAATTGTTCCGCTAATTCTTGAAGATCGTCTTAATTTTGCAGCCACTCACAACTTTAAGGTCACTGAGCAGTCAGGTACGCCATTGCTGGATAATACCAAACTGGAAGACTCTTTAAATGTCATTGATTTGGCTGAAGATCAAATACTTAAGACAAATTATTCTGTAGGCTTGGGTGAAGATTTGAAGACTGAACTACCAGATTTAGCAGTGGAGGCTGCAGGAAATGAGACCATAAGTTGTTTTCCTGAGGTGCAGTCAGTTTTTGACAGTAGGTTGTCTGTCAGTTTGGAAAAATACAAAGCTGTAGGTTTGGGGAAAGAACTAGAGACAAAACTACCAGATTTAGCAGTGGAGGTTGCAGGAAATGAGACCATAAGTTGTTTTCCTGAGGTACAGTCAGTTTCAGGCAGAAGGGAGCCTGTCAACTGGGAGGAATACAAGTAATTTCTTGTTTGTTGTTGTAAAATAATTTTATGATTGTTGTGTTGCACAAGTGATTATCTGCAGAATGATTGAATGAATATGGTGTTGTACAAGTGATTACCTGCAGAATGATTGTTGGTGTTGTACAAGTGATTACCTGCAGAATGATTGTTGGTGTTGTACAAGTGATTACCTGCAGAATGGTTGAATGAATATGGTGTTGCACAAGTGATTACCTGCAGAATGATTGAATGAATATGGTGTTGCACAAGTGATTACCTGCAGAATGATTGAATGATTGTTGGTGTTGCACAAATGATTACCTGCAGAATGGTTATGTGATTGTTAGTGTTGCACAAGTGATTACATGCAGAATGGTTATATGATTGTTGGTGTTGTACAAGTGATTACCTGCAGAATGGTTGAATGAATATGGTGTTGCACAAGTGATTACCTGCAGAATGATTGAATGAATATGGTTTTGCACAAGTGATTACCTGCAGAATGATTGATTACCTGCAGAATGATTGTTGGTGTTGCACAAATGATTACCTGCAGAATGGTTATGTGATTGTCGGTGTTGCACAAGTGATAATTAAGAATGTTTGAATGATTGTTGGTGTTGCACAAGTGATTACTAAAGGATGATTGCCCATGATTACATTGACTAAATGATTGTTGGTGTTGCACAAGTGATTACCTGCGGAATGACTGAATGATTGTTGGTGTTGCGCAAGTTATTACCTGCAGAATGGTTGAGTGCAAGTAATGCAGTGGTAGTTTTGTGTATGTTTTATTGACGTTTAATAGGTTTTAAAGGCTATCCTCTGAATAACGGGCACATATTATGGTGACAAAAAACAGGGCCTCAGTCACATGTAAATTGTGAACTTCCCGGGACTTAATTTGTGGACTTCCAGCGACTACTGCCACCGCCGAGTGTATCCCCCACGCCGCTCACACGGCGTGGATTGGGACTAAACTAGATGGCTGGGACTCACGAGCAAAGCTGCAGGAGATGCGGAAGCTGCTGCTCGTGAGTCCCTGCCATCTAGTTTAGCCCCAATCCACGCCGCGTGAGTGGTGTGGGGGTTACTCTCGGTGGTGGCGGTAGTCCCCGGAAGTCCACTAATTAAGTCACCGGAAGTGTGCAATAGACATGTGATTGAGGCCCTGTTAGGGTGTTTTTGCGGCCACCATAATATATGCCCGCTATTCAGAGGATAGCCGGTTTTAAATTATTATCGGTGTTTTATGATTGTTGGTGTACAAATTGTTGTATGATTGTCGGTGTTGTACAAGTGATAATTAACTGTTATAGCTTGGTGCAAGTAATTAACTAAAGGAAGCCCATAATTAGTTGCCTCCTAGGACATGCTTGTTGAGGGAGGTAGGGTCTAGTCTTTGTTCTTCACAGTTGAGCCCTGAAACCCACATGGGGAGTTTAGAATTTGATGAGTTAACATGATTTCTGTTTAGGAATGAAAGAGTTACTGAATTGTCTTTTAAGATTTGCTTGCTAAGAGGCAGTGGGTCTATCTGAGTTACTGAGAGTTACTGAATTGTCTTTGTTGCATTTAGAATTTGCCATAGACTTTTCATGTCTGTTGTTTTAGTTGTTCTTGATTTGACACCATGACCCTAAAATGCTACGTAGACGATATATCTTGTTGTTGCAGTCGCTTGAGGGTGCAGCTGGGAGTGGAACCGGTCAACAGAATCCCTATCACAACCAGGTCTTTCAGCAGTGACACAATGAGGGCAAGAGTAAGTTGAATGGTTGCCAGAATTTAATTACTGTAATATCTTATCAGAAAGAGACAATCTACATTCTTTGGTCATGTGATGAGAAGGAGAAAACTGGAGTACATTCTGATGGTAGGACAGCTGGAGGGGAGGAGAGGCAGAGAAAGACTGAGAGAAAAGATGCTGGTTGGTTTGACATCATGGCATGGAGGATCATCTGTGTCAGGGTTGATTGACAGTACACGGGACAGAGGGTTGCGGATCGACATGACTACCAATTCCACACAGCATGGACTTTGAAAAGAAGAGTACACAAATTCCTAGGGGCAGAAAAATCAACAGTTACTGTTATAAAAATGTGCATGTTATACATGCCTGCTATGACCAGATTTTGTTCTTTGTTCGTATCAACCAAGTGTTCTTCTGAGCCAAATCAGTCTCAGTCAGTGCGTGAGTGACACCATCCCTTGGTGTCCCTCCATAGCATCATGTGATCTCTTAAATGTCACATTTAGTCAGAACAGACCTAAGAAATCTGGCTTCTCCAGTGTAATTATGACTGTGCTTATTGCCACTTGGAAAGTATTGCACTCATGATTTTTCTACCTTTTATTTATGTCTTCTGCACTTTGGCATTTTTTGTGAAACCTTCTGCTGCTGAGAGAGTTCAGCAAGTATGTATTAAATAGGTTTTACTGTATAAGCTAATTAACTCAGTGGATACCATGTTAATTCAATGGCTGGAAGCCTACCTGCCTACCAGCTTTAAGGTGTAGGGTTCAAATCTGTATCAAGACAATTAAAAAAATTTTTTTTTTTTTCAAAAAATTGACCTTTTATTTTAGCTTGACCCACTTTAAAATGGGTACCTGGTAATGTCCTGGGGAGTAAACAAGGCAGATGTCATGGTGACCATATCTCCAGTCAAGTGCAGATTGGCCTATACATAATATAGGTATAGCGTTGTATGCCAGGTTTGCCAGATGCATCACAAGGGTCCTTTCATTTTTCCTTGAATGAACTCACCTGCAGTCTGGTATCACAGATAGCTGGCTGGTTGCTGACACTCTGAAAAATTATTTGTTTGTAGCCATGGCTTGCTGATGCAAATTCCCCATTTCTGGACTGAGACCACAAAAGTTCCGTCGCCCAGCTACTGAGTTGAGTGCTTAGTGCGACCCTGTGGATTTCATGTGGAATGTATTTTTTCCTGTTCTACCCGGAATGGCTCTGTGTTTTGAACTGCCCTTAAAATAGTGGGTGGCTGATTATGTTTAGAATGGCGTGTACTTATGCAGTATTGCGAGTGCAATTGACTGCTTGAATCAACAAGGGACCATAGTTCTGGTGGCTGCCTTAAGTATTTACTTTTCATGTGAAAGCTTCAAGACTGCAAATGGTACAGTGAAGGACATTTTATATTGTTTTCTATTGGCACATGAATGGAACAGTTAAGAGGCGAGAAGTCTACAGTGAAGGTGGAACATTGAATAACTAACTTTAGTTAACTCAGTGTGTTACTGGGGCTCATAATTGAAGCAAAGGATAGTAACACTGTAACACACCATGCATGTCATAAGATACAAATAAGGAAGGTTAGCTAACTCATTACTATTCCAACTTTCTCTCTAATGCTGGTAGTCATAATCCTGTCCCTTCTTATGTTGTTTGTCCCTTCTTATGTTGTTTGTCCCTTCTAATGTTGTTTGTCCCTTCTTATGTTGTTTGTCCCTTCTAATGTTGTTTGTCCCTTCTTATGTTGTTTGTCCCTTCTAATGTTGTTTGTCCCTTCTTATGTTGTTTGTCCCTTCTTATGTTGTTTGTCCCTTCTTATGTTTGTTGTTTGTCCCTTCTTATGTTGTTTGTCCCTTCTTATGTTGTTTGTCCCTTCTTATGTGTGTTTTTGTCCCTTCTTATGTTGTTTGTCCCTTCTTATGTTGTTTGTCCCTTCTTATGTTGTTTGTCCCTTCTTATGTTGTTTGTCCCTTCTTGTGTTGTTTGTGACCTCACGGAGACATCACATTTCACAGGTAGTTTGTTTCTGATCTGTGCCCTATTCATTCTCCATGTTTGTCACAGATATCATCAAGTAGGCATGAAGATGTTATTAATCATTTGCAGTTTTGCTGTAAAGGAGACATTTAGTGTAGGGAACTTTCCTAGGTTTTGCTGGAAGGGAGACATTTAGGTGTCTCAGTATAGAGAACTTTCTTAGGTTTTGCTGGAAGGGAGACATTTAGGTGTCTCAGTATAGAGAACTTTCTTAGGTTTTGCTGGAAGGAGACATTTAGGTGTCTCAGTATAGAGAACTTTCTTAGGTTTTGCTGGAAGGGAGACATTAAGTGTAGGAAACTGTCCTAGGTTTTGCTGGAAGGGAGACATTTAGGTGTATAAGTGTAGAGAAATTTCCTAGGTTTTGCTGGAAGGGAGACATTTAGGTGTCTAAGTGTAGAGAAATTTCCTAGGTTTTGCTGGAAGGGAGACATTTAGGTGTCTAAGTGTAGAGAAATTTCCTAGGTTTTGCTGGAAGGGAGACATTTAGGTGTCTAAGTGTAGAGAACTTTTCTAATCTTATAGCTATTTTATATTTATGAGTTCCCCATATGGCTTCCGAAACTCCATTTTGTAGGACTAAGAACAGACCCACTGCCCCGCTAACAAGCATGTCATAGGAGGCGACTAATTAGGGGTGTTTCCTTCGGAGTGCATCTGCCTGTAAAATGGATGTACACACAGAGCTCAAGTTCTGGACCAAAACCAAAGTCCAGAATGTTGAATGTTGAATTAAGAATCAACATCACGGCACTCAGGACACTCCCATAAGCACTCAGTCTCCATCTTCAACAGCAAGCGAAGAGTTCCAATTCTGATGGTACCAGTAGCTGTCTGATTGTGCATCCTTCCCCTGAGTGTTGAGCATTGGCCAGATCCCCTGGTAACTCCTCGCAGCGCCATTTTCCTTAGACCATAATGATCTATCTGTGCCTTTGCACTGTTCACTCGCTTCCAAATGGCCCTCACAATTTCTAACTTGTCAAGGTCCAGAAGAGAAAGAACAGGTACCAGAACTTTCTACCAGAGTATACAGCCTGTGAATACCCAGAAGAAGATTGATGTATGGTATATTAAAATCATCTTCATAATTCTTTGGCAACCAGAATTGTATAACACCCCTTTCTCTTTGTTTGTTTTTTTTTGTTTTTTGTAAGAAGGTACCAAGGCATTTGTTTCTTCTTGTGAGATCACACTAGGAAATTTTTCTCCCTCTGGGGAAAAAAGTACCTCTGAAAACAAGTGTTAGAAATTTCACTTTTTTATCAACACCATGCCCATTCATCATCATCTTTATCATTAGCAGTTAAAGAATGTGAACATTCCATAGAACTTGGTTCCCTCTTTTAATTGTGAATCCTACCACAGACCCTCTCATTTTTAATTATCATTCATTGTCCTGATGTATCACTATCTGTCACATAGGACTCGCAGTCTGTTCCTTCATCCTCCGTTCAATCGTTTCTAAATCATAAAGGAAATACAGTCCAGCATCTTTGGCCTCTCGCTCATCAACATTCATTTTAGGTTTTTTTTTCGGATGTCCTTGCTTCCTCAATCTTTTATTACCTAATTTAATGCCTCCTTGATGATTCTCTGCTGTATTGAGTGTAGCACCATCTCTACTTTTTAATAGTTAGATTTAAAAAAGAGGAGTGAATCTCTATTAGAATATTAAAAAAAAAGGGTTGACTTTTTTCTAAAAATTATTACAACCGCTTAAATTTGTTCTATGCACCACTAACTAAAAACCACTGCCAGAGATTTTTTTGGGTTTAAGGTATGAATTGACATATGTTCTCCATTTTCAGAACTCGAACATTCTTCAAGCAGTTCTTTGTTTGGTCAAAGATCTTGACAGAGACAGCCTTGACATTGTGGCTGCAGTGGTGAAAGCTAGACTAGATACCATTTGACTTGGAAGGCGGGAGATGTACCAGAAACATGTTCATGACCTTACAGCATTAGGGGAAGATATGAAACTGAGCAAAAAGTATATCAGCAAGCTTCAGAATATAACAAACACAAACAAAACATAAACATTGCGGCTATGGAGCCTTCATCAGCGCATACATAAATCAATTAATACCATACAAATACACAAAATCACTGAGCTTAGTATCTCGAAAGCAGCCAGGCATTAAGTAAGATCTAAGCAGGTCAGGTGTAATATTATTATTGTTGCCCTTCTGGTTTTGTTTCTCACCACCAGGAAATATTAGGCAGATTCTAGATCACTGGCCTCCCACCTGGTGGGGGGGGGGGAGGGGGGGGGGGGGGGGGGTTGTTTCTAGGAAGTTTTGGGGGTTGCGTCAGACAATTTTGAAATGGAGTGCATTTTTATTTATAATAATCTGTTGTATTATTTTTTCAGTTTCATTATAAAAAATAAATATTTTTCTTTAAAACTATTTATAAAACAAAAAGCCACAGGCATTTTTTTTTTGGTTTTTTAATTTTAAAAATCAGTTTGCGTATTTACATTAAAACCTTTAATTAATATGATAACACAGACATTTAATTATAGATTAAGAACACATTCTGACCATAAAGTATCTCCATACTTTCTGTTCCCTTTGTTGTGTAATCTATTGTCATCCTCTGTGTAATCACATTCAATTATGTTGGTGTAGGAGTCTTGCCATATACTCAAGGAGGGGTGTGTGGGGGTCTTGCAGTATACTCAAGGGGAACACACACTGAAAAAGGTTGGAAACCACTGTTCTAGACTAATGTTCTCTAACCTTTTTTCAGCCGCTGATCGGAAAATAAAAAAATGTACACTGAAAAAAAAAAAGAAACTGAATTATGACTGTTGCAAAAACAGAACAGGCAATCAAGATATGCATGGAAATCAACAATTCAAACAAGCAAAGGACTTCAAGAATATGGGGAGCATTATATCATCCGATAGAAAAACAGAAGCTGAAATAGATCTTATGGATGTGGGTGTTGTACTCTTGTATACCTCTTGTTTAGACTGGGTATTCAGAGCAGTTGTTTAGATTAATTCATATATTGTTCCCCCCCCCCCCCCCCCCCTCCCCCATCCCCAATGTTAGTTTTTCACCTGCACTAATTTGTCTCAGTATCTGCAGACAACCAAGGTATGTAGGTCTAGGTGACTACTTTGATACCAGCTGGATCTCTCCTCGATGGATGTGCTGCTGTGGGCCAAGTGTGCCCAGGTGTTAAAATTTTGTAAGACTGCATGTATTAGCAGTACATCCTTCGAGGGGAATCTGGCCAATGCTCAACACTCAGGGGAAAGGTGAGACGGATATACAATCAGACAGTTACTGGAACCATTGGAATTTTAACGAGTTTAGGAGTCGTCAACATGTAATTTCTAGCAGACGCAGTAAATTTTTTCCTACCAGTACAGCTCAGGGCTGACCTGGCCTCATAAACTGCAAGTACCAGAGAACTGTCAGTTTTCTAGCAACTGTCTGGGAAAGTATGGTGATTAAAGGGCTCATGCTACATAGTACAATGGGTGATTCAAATGAAAACCTTTTTACTGTGATAGAAATTATAGTAACCATTCCATTATCTTGTAACCTGTCAGTATTGTTGCTAAGGATGTCAACAATGTTAAGCACATGACATCACAGTGCAGTGGCATCATAATAACAGTTTAAAGATGGCCACCCCACATTTGACACGCACCAAGGAACAGCATTATGCTATCCATTTTTGTTATCAGTGAAGGGGTAAAACCTATAGACATTAAATGAATACAAGTCCAGGGTTTGAACCTCTATTGAGTTTTTTGTTTGTCTTGTTAAAAAGAAGCTACCTTAGCTCCCAGGTCAACCTAACCTGAAATTAGCATCAGGTAAAGTTCTGGGAAGTAAAAGCTGCCAGCTTGAGTGCCAATTGGTGTATAAAAATAACGAGTTTCGCCACGGGCATAATAAAAGGATCCGCTACTTTACTATTTATCTAACAGCCGTCCAATGCTCCAGTTATTTTTAAATATTGATACTGGTACAGTTTTTAAATTTAATCAGACTTTAAGTAAAGTTAAGATCCCTTTTCACATCTTTTAGGTGCATCGGGCATTTGGGAAGAGCACCTATGATTTTACAGACCGGCACTACATCAGCATTACGCCGGCCGTCTTTACTTCCCCAGGACATACATCCTGACACCCATTTTAGGCTGGGTCAACCATGATAAAATTAATCAGACTATAATTAGCAGCAATTAGGTTTCTTGTTTTGTTGTTGAGTGTGTTCATCATAATAATGTTGAGAATGAGAGGCAGGATCAAGTTCACTGCACCAGGTTTATCCCATATGGCTCAGTCTCTCCTTGGAGAATGGCTAGCCATCCACAGGGAACACTGCACAAGCCTGAACTTCATAACTCCTATAATCTTCTTCTTCCCGTTCACCGGCTGTAAACTGCAGTGAAAACTTCTGATTGTTCGTCCACCTTTGGTCCTTAGCTTGTTCCAGAACCTGAGTATTGTGAGGACATCTGTTTTACAGATGTCTTATCTGTGTGCAGATTGTTGGTTCCTTGCCTCTCAAGCAGATGCACTCCGACTTCAAAGGAAACCCCCAATTAGTCGATTTGTTAGGCAGGCAGTGGGTCTATTTTTGTTCACCCCACAATAGCGACCCTGGAACCCAACATGGGGAGCTCTTCTATTGCTTCCCCTCGATATCTGTAAAAAAAAAAAACCAGCAATCGGTGTTCGTGAACTGAATGTGTCCGTAAAATCAACCCACTGCCTTCAAGGTGCACGATAAATGACATGACCACTTCGCCACAAAGAACTCCTTCACCCCCACCTTGAGAGGAAGAATAAATAACTAGAACACGATAATTGTAAAGTATTTACTGTTATTGAATTATCTTCTTCACATCCCCTGAATTAGGACATTACAGAAACATAATGAACTGACATATATGTACAGTAGGAACCCTGGCTTCTTCAATCACAAGCATATAAACCGTTGATAAATACACTTTTGCAGATCTCCCTGCTAGTGGTTTTAAAGCCACAGCACTTTTCCAGATCTCCCTGCTAGTGGTTTTAAAGTCATAGCACTTTTCCAGATCTCCCTGCTAGTGGTTTTAAAGTCATAGCACTTTTCCAGATCTCCCTGCTAGTGGTTTTAAAGTCATAGCACTTTTCCAGATCTCCCTGCTAGTGGTTTTAAAGTCACAGCACTTTTCCGGATCTCCCTGCTAGTGGTTTTAAAGTCATAGCACTTTTCCAGATCTCCCTGCTAGTGGTTTTAAAGTCACAGCACTTTTCCGGATCTCCCTGCTAGTGGTTTTAAAGTCACAGCACTTTTCCGGATCTCCCTGCTAGTGGTTTTAAAGTCACAGCACTTTTCCGGATCTCCCTGCTAGTGGTTTTAAAGCAATAGGCCTCTATGAAGGTTACGGTACACAGCTTGTCCCCCACTGATCCATTCACAGCCATGTTTCCATGGTCAGATCTAGGATCTCTCTATGGCAGGGCTATTCAACTAAGTTTACTCAGGAGCAAAATTTTTTTTCAACAGGCTAAACTCATGAGTCCAAGCATAAACAGATAATTAATATAATACAATTGGCAATGATTCGTTGGCCACTTGCTAGGTCTCTATGGACCAGATGTGGCCCACGGGCCACCATTTAAATAGCCCTGCTCTACAGCACATGGAAGGCTTTTATGCAGCACGTACCCAGTATTCTGTGGTGCTTGTCCACACCGGCAAAGTTGTGTGTCCCAAATCTTGAATTTCCGTACATATGTCTACCGAGTCTGTTGTGTCCAGTTGCATAATCTAAATATAATGGTCTGTTTTGTGTCAGGAGGTTGTTTGGGTGTTTGGGATTGTGCTCTAGATGGGATGGGTTCTAATGGCAATCAAATAGAAACACTTTTCAATGAAATACTTTTATTTTTATCATATAAAACAGTGCAAACAACTGTAAGCTGTTTTTTTGCTGTTGCACAGCCTCAGTGATAATGATGTTATGAATTGTCATTGCAGTGCTGCAGATTAACATTTTGATTGATGCTGTGACAGGATGGTCCAGATGGTTCAATTACTACCGTACATATACACACAGTTCCCATAATCAATACAAGAAATGCATATCACTACAGCAACAAGTTATGATTTCTGATGTAAATTATAGAAGATAATGATGAGTTCTTATGTATTTATTACAGCGCCCAACCATGATTTCTGACATAATGCATAGCTCAGATCTTTGTATCTGATATACACACGACACCAGTGTCAGTCATGACCTCAGAAGGACTTTAAGATGCATTCTGACAAAACCTGGCACATTTACATGATATCAGTCACAACCCTCTCACAAACATGACCCATTTACATGACATCAATCACTACCCCTATGATATAAAATATGACATTACCTGCTCTGTACCAAATGTCAGATTGTGTCACACAAGGTTTTAAACCACAAAAGAGCAAATAAATCAAAGTCCAGTATCTGCAGGCCACAAACAATTACACAAGCGATGCAATACCATCAATAGTAGCATCTTTCTTCCGACTTTTTGTTATCAGAGCCAAACATGGACAATGAATTCGGCACTAGAAAAGAAAATAACTGCACCTGAAATGCGCTGCCTCCGCAAGGTCACTAGCAACACTAGACGAAGCAGAGTTACGAATACCAGCATTAGAGAGAAAGTTGGAATAACACCATGTCTGGATTATATTGACAGGCAAAGAATGAAATGGTTCAGCCATCTAGTGAGAATGCAGCCAGACCAAACTGCATATGAGACTTTTTACAGCAGAACATCTGGGAAGACCCAGAAAGAGATGGATAAATGGTGTAGCTGAAACCTGCAAAAAGTTGAACAAATCCATCAGTCAAGCCACCTGAGAAATGCAAGACAAATATAGGATACCACGATACCGGGTTACAA